GCGCTAGGGTTTTGTTTTTAATTTTGGGGATAATTTTGAAATTTTTAATTACGCCCGCCAAAACAATATACAATTACCAAAGCAAAATCTCTATTACGTGGTACGTTACGATTGGCTAAATGCTAGATTATCGGAAAACGTGGGACCCATTTTTCACCATCCACTAGCTCTCTCTACCAAATTTAACGGCGGAGATTACGCAGTCAGATAGATTCGACTTTTATTTTTATTTTTTTAACAATGAAATGACTTATCCACCCTTTATTTTTTGTGGTTGTAATGCTTTTGAGATGAAGGGTGATTAGGGGACTTTACAATATGTGACCCACGTAGTGGGTAATTAGCATGATTAAATTGAATGTTGGAAAAGGACATATTAACCCCTATCACGCCTTATTAATTACGAGTGTGTCTCCTCTTGTGAGTTTTTTTCATTTTTTTCCGTGTATTGAATTTATTTTCATTAATACAGTATCTATGTATTGAAATTTTTCATTCTTTTAACAACTTTTGTTAACTGTCTGAATAAATTCAAAATTTGGGAAACTTTAATGAATCACACAAAACCGTATCTGCAGTTTCTGTGTTTTTTCTCGTGTTGATTTTTAATTTTCTTTCCTCGTTGGTTTAATTCACTTGCGAGGGTATTTTGGGCTAGTAACATTTCTCGCTCTTATATAGACGAGGAATATTCAGTTTGTCTACGAAAAGTCCATTTTGATTTGGGCCAATAAATGATTTCTGTCTAAATCTAATGGGCTTACTAATATTCTAGCTCAGCCCATTTGTATAATGATGAGATTATGTTTTTGTTCAAACAATAATCCACACTTGTTACCAAATCAAAACATTACCTTAATAAATAATTAATCAGAAACCTGGAACTCATTAGTAATAGCATTGATAAGCTAATTTATATTTAAAATTTTGTTCCTAAGTGGTATCGATACTCTCAATTCGTTGTTACAAAAGTGTGTTGATGCTTATAGTAGTAATAATTTATTGATTTGGTCAGAAGGAATGCAGATTTTGAGAGGTACTCTTTTTCGTTATTTAATTTTTTTTTATAATTTCGTTTCCGACAAAGTCTTAGACATTCGATGACCATTTTCACTAATATAACCCAAAAAATTAAGTTAAAGTACTGTATAAATACTTTTTCATTAGTAGTAGTGATTTTTTTTATGAGGATGGAAAATTTAGCTGTCCCATTTATTGTTTACAGATAAGGACATTTCGAAACATTTATTTTAATATAAAGTAAGATGCACGATTATTCCCAACTAAATCACATGGAGACAATCCACCTAACAACTAAAACAACAGTTTCTCTATCTTTATTACCTCCAACGAGAAGTTCTTTTTCTTACTTTTCCAATTATGACAAGTTATATAAATTGGGTTGTGTTTAGTTCCTTTGAATTTTGGCTTACTCTTTTTATTTTTTTAAATAATTTTTGCTTACTCTTTCATTGGTATAAAAACATTTAACAATGACTTTGTAAAAGCAAACGGGTATTCGACCAAATGCTTTTAGTCAGTACTAATAAAGTACCGGCAGTATATAATCAAAAGTTTTCTTTTAAAAAAAATCATACGTTTTCTTATGGGAAATTGTGCTCAATAACAAACAAAAAAAAAATTATAATTCAAACCATAAGCATTTACCATAATTCTGGTGAATCACGTTAAATAACTTAGTCACATAAGCTCATTTTAGTTAGTTAATGAATTATTATTTTTTTTATTATTTTTGTAAATGATCATTTTCTTATTGTTCTTTTAAATATCGAATATATATATATATAAATTTTTTTTTTTTTTGTCATCTGATTAATATTAAACAAGGAAGAACCAAACAAAGATTACAAGGACCGAGGATTTACACCAATAGATAACTTAAAAAAGATACTTAACCAACTCAAGAGAATACAAACCACACTAATCCCAGGGACGAAAGTAACCTCCTATGGCGAATGGGTGTACCTCACTATTAAAAGACCGAAACTTCATACTTTGACAAGTCGGATACCATCAAATATCACGAAAACTTCAAAAGACAGCGGAGAAGAATCAATTAGGTTACAACGCCTCGATAACCTTCAAGGTGTATATATATATTTGAAATAAAACAAGATTATCCTACAACAATGGTATTAGTACAAACCACTAGATTGATTCAAATATATTTTAGGCTTCGTTTGCAGTTTTGTGTGTGTGTGATGTGTGAGTTCTTTACAAAGAAGAATCATCTGCATTTATAAGATTATATATCTACATCTTCAATGCTGAGGTCATTATCATGGAGTAACTGTAATATTAACATATTAACGGAAACTACTATTTTAATGCTAAATTCGGTAATATACTTTTGGGGAGAAAATGGGTTACAAATATTAGAGTAAACGCATGGTATATAGGCACTCTCAAAAAGGTAGAGGGTGTAGCAGTCATACT